AAAAATCAAACACAAAAAACAAACAGTAAGAATCATTTTTAAAGGGTAGTGACTATCAAGTTCAAATTTAACTATAAGTTTCTACCTTGACTCTATACCTTGAAGAGAAATCTGTTCCTACAGGAACCAGAATTAGAACTGAATGTAGTGCCATATATTAGGTTAGAGTGTCTCACCCACTAAAAGTGTTAATTTTTCAGAAATATGACAAGTCATTAGGCATAAAGGCAGGGCTTTTTTGTTTTGGTTTGGTTTTGGGGGAGTAGGGGGCACTAATAAAAGATGAGAGAGCTTAGTAGTTAAGAAAATACAGGTAGGGAATCAGTCAATACAGGGTTAAGAATTCCAGTTCTACCATGAGTGTAAAAAATATAAAACAGTTTGACACAGACTATGTGTTCAATTATATTACTTCTTCTTTTTGGCTATTACGTTATTCTATAGTTATTTTTATCACTGTATCTTAATTTTCTTTGAAGGTAGAAAAAAATAAATACTACATTTGCCTGGTATTTCTTTAAGGTAATTCAGATGAACATAGATGTCTTTTTATACACAATATTAAAGAAAATTAATAACTTCAATTGAGAGGCAAACAAGATATGGTAAAACACATATATTCTTCAAATCTTCTATACAAGTAATTCGAGAGGAGGGGAAAAAAGAACTGCGTGTGGAGAGAAATGTTGAAAGATGTTTGGGATTATAGTATCCATTTATTTTAAATTTATTTAAAATAGACTTCACTTATTTAAAATGAAAAATAACAAATCAGTTTTCTTTTCTCTCAAAAACAATTTCCTTGAGGGTCCCTATTTTTGCTGGTTTGAGGCAATAATGATGATATCTTGGATTAACTTTACTCTTGAAGCATCTTGGCATTTGGAGGCACATGAACTTAGAAAGCAGACAAATTCGTGTTACAACCCTAAATCTTTCCCTTACTAGGTGTGTGACATTTGACACATCCCTTAGTGTCTCTGAATGGGCTTGTATTTACTTTAAAAAATGCTAATGCAAGCTTGTCTTGAGAACATAATATCATGGTGTTTATGTTGCAAGGTCACAGATTTATTAACACTACTCTCAGATACACAGAGGAGACATAACTTCTTCATATTCTGTAATTCATCTGAGCTTTCTCTGGACACCTCACTTCTCACCTTGCTAGGAAGAAAACAAAGCAGTAGCAGTACAATGGGTTAAATCTGAAAGGAAAGAAATGTCAATAGAGCTATAAAAATGTCTTTGTATACATTTTTTGGACACCNATGATACATTCAATCCCCCCCAATAATTTAAAAACTTTCTCTGGATAACTAAATTCCTTTTGGAAGAAAAATTATTTCACATTTATTTCCCCTTTCCTGCCTCTTTCCAATATAAAAGTGGGGTGGTGGCAGGGGGAGGCTATGCTACCTCCTGGAGACCAGTGGATGTTTAGCATGTAGAAGAAAGGTTTCCACTTACAGAAGCACCCTACAGGTTCAATAGCCCCCCCATGCCAGTCCAAACCGAACATTAGCATAATCAATGAAAGATTTGGGTGTTAGCCTTTGGCCTCACACACAAGCATTCTCTTTAAGCTGTCCTATCTGAAAGTAAAGGTGCGTAGCATTAATTAGAAAATATCTCATCTATAATGTATCTTTCTCTACAAGAACAGCTGTTCCTTAGGCCTGCCGACCAGCCTGCCAAATTTCTGAGCCCCTTTTTTCTCTAACTTTGGCCTCCAGAGTTAATTTAGTACCGTTATCACAAACCTTTAGCCCTCAGCTTGTGAAAGTCCTATGGGGTGGCATCTAAAGATGAAATCATCTAGCTGAGAGAAAATAAAATCAGAGCAGAGAGGTGCTGACCTTGGAGCATCAAATGATTTGAATTGCAGCCCCTTCCCCCAATCTTCTGATTTATTAAATTACCAGAGATCATTTTCTGTATTATCTGAGAAAATTTTGAGTCAATGTTTGAAGTATATAGAGCCTCAGTTCAGACAGGCATGAGTCTGAATCCTGACTTCATAACTACTAAACTATTTGGTAAGGAGGACTGCGTCCCACCTCAAAGTCTCAGTTCCTTATCTACAAAATGGAGATCCTCTCTCCAAGTGCTGCTAGGCCACGAGGACTTGCAAGAATCTGTTTGCAGTGTTTAGCACATATGTGGCACATGGTAGGCTCAGAATTAGTGGTAGTTCTTTTGACTTAATCTCACAACCTTCCAATCCATGACTCTCATACCCTAGGTCTAACTTCTACCACTAAACTTTTAGGATTTCCTAGTTTCTAGGAGGGTTTCCTAGTTTCCTGGAGTTCACAGCCATACAAGCAATATAGGGTGTCCAAAAAATGTATACAAAGACATTTTTATAGCTCTATTGACATTTCTTTCCTTTCAGATTTAACCCATTGGAATTAATAATTATTCAAAGTGTGTATGCATATTTGGGGGGACACCCTGTACATTAGAAAAGAGGTAACTGGTGCTCTAAAATTTCTGCCAAACAGCCTTAATTTCTTCAAATAACAAAGGACATTCTTATTCAAAGATCCTTAAACTGAAGAAAACACATGTTTATTTGGCCACCTCCTATGTAGGTAGCCCAAGAGGTCAACCCATGTTAACTGGAGTTATTTTCCTATAGGTCACACACTTCATCAGTACTTTCAAGATGAGCCTGCTAAAGTATCCTGAGTGTTACTGGAGTTTTGCTCATCCTATATCCCTCCACTGTTGTTTCTGGTCTCCTTGCTCCAGACTCTTTATAAGAAGAATTATATAAAAAGGTTATTTAGCATGGTTGGAAAAATCATTCTACAAACAAAGGTAGCCTAGTCTAAATTTCTGAAAAATTATCAATTATTTCAAAATATTACCAATGATATTATATACAAACGCCTACTGCTAATTTTCAATGATATTGCTACCATCAAGGACTGGGGACCCAAGGAATTCAATATTCTGGGCTTTTCTTACCTCCTCTATAGAAGCAGAGCTTTGGTTAAGCAGTGTCTGAGGTTCTATGTATCTCTTCCTTGAGAAACTGCCCCAATGGTCAGTAGGGATGTGGAAATTTACTAAGGGCACGAGTAAAGGAGAGACCTAACAGAAAACGTGTTGAGATATGGCCCTGCATGGAACTCTGCTTGCGTGAGCTCAAGACCTTCTTTGCATTCTTCACTCAGAACTCAGGCATCTGCTCCCAGCTGGCAGTTCCCCCTCTCAAGAATGAAGGACAGAAGTCAGAAAACACCTGAAAATCCAGAGGGAAATAAAACTGCCCACAAATGGGATGAAAATGGAGGGGAAGGTGGAGTCAAACTATCCAGGATAAGGCTCTTACTCCTGGATTTTTGAAAGAAAGGGAGCTAGGACAACCTGCTGTTGGGGCAAGAGCAGTTGTGGCAAGGAAATGGGAGACCTATGCTTGTTCCTGCTCCTGCCTCTGTCCCTGGCAGCCTTCTATGGAGTCAAAGGCTGCTTGGAATGTAACCCCAAATTTACAGAGGATATTAAGTCCTTGTTGGCAAAGTTGGTACCCTCAGAAGTCCCTGGCCGAACTCAACTGCTTGAAAGGCAGATTAAAGAGATGACCAATTTAAGCTTCAAGGTCTCCCACGGGAACAAGAGGCTTCGGGTGTTGGGTGAGGGAAGCTTGAGCCCCTGGGAGTTTATAGGGTTAAAGGGAGAAGGGAGGCAGGGAAGAGAGCACCTGGGTCTGCCTAATAATATCCTCCACAGATACAAGTATTCCCCCACATGTATGTTTACCTCTCTGTTCTAGCTGTTCAAAAGGTTGTCTATTTAAGAACATGGCTGAAGGATGAACTTTCTAAAATGAGCAGTAAAACATGGAAAGGTGAGGTGCTGTTTCATTATTTAAAAATTGTACAAGCAAATATGAGGAACGTTCGCTGGGGAAAACAAGGCAGAACAATCAGGAATAAATCCTGAAGGAAAGGGCCACCCTTATTTTCTGATGTCCCTTCCACCCCCTTAGGTGCCTTTATACTTCAAGGCAAGCTTCTTGATGTCTGCCAAGGCCTGGAATCCAAACTGAAAGAAACATTAAATAACTTCTCTGAAGTTGGTAATAAAAGATGTCTACCTAACAACACTGAAATTATATGGAAACAATAGGAAGTGAGGGGTGAGAGGAGGAATGTAGTTTCATATTAGAGTGATTTAGAATGGGTGGAGGGGTGGCTCGAGCTTAATAGGTAACCAGGTAAAGACTACTTGGGTACAATATGATGAACTTCAAGTTGATACTAAGCTCATTAGAATGCTCTGATCCTCTTTTAGCTTGTTCTGAAGATTGTGGTGAGTATAATACATGGGATGCCTTGAGGTTGTACCTTATCATTTTCCATCTCCTTTGCTCTCTATGACTGACTGGATCTCTCCTACTTGTCCCACTGAAAACCCAATTTCTAGAGTTGTGGTTCCAAGAAGGAATGTGAATGATACCTGAGAATAAAATCTAGCTTATGAAATCTTAGGTCCCTCACAGAATTTTGAGGGGCTCAGAGGCCACCTAAATTATAGTTTACAACCCATAGCACCAGTGTAAGCTAAGGCATCAGTTTTCCCACTTCCCCTGAGATCTGACTTAAATTACTAAAGGTTTGAACCCCTCAGAAACGTGACTGCTAGGGGAAGAAGGAATTCCCAGATGTCTGAGCTAAGGAAATTCCATGCCATTGCCCACCTCCGACTGTCTTCCTTCTCTTTAGTCACGATAGAAGGTCCTATCCTGGATTGTTGGAGCTGTCATCACCTCACCACCCAGTGCTTCAAAGGAGAGTATTGTGGAGGTAACAAAGATTGTGGTGTGGCATTTTGAGGGGTCAGTGATCAAGGTAATGAGCCATTCATTGACTTATTAAACAAATATTTGTTGAGCATCTTCTATGCAGGTCATGCTAATGTTGCAAACAAAGCTAAAATGTTGGGCAAAATTTGTATATCAGCTTGAATTACTGGGCACTGGACCAACTTAAGGGCTGAGAAATACAAAGTCTGGACTAAAAGTAGAGTAATTAGACCAGCAGCAGAAAGAGCAAAAGTTTCGTTGAGCCTCAGGGTCTGAGAATAATAAAGATCACAGTAATTAGAAAACCGTGATGGAAATGGTGAGCAGAGCAAACAGCTTGAGGTTAAAAAGAAACTTCTATTATGCCTAAAGTTCTCAAGTTACTATTTTTCTTCCCCAAAACTCATTTTCTTTTTTACTTTATTTTTATTGTTTACACTATTACAGGTGTCCCCATTCACCCTCCACTCCCTTTGCCCACCTCCACCCTTCCCTTGCCTCCCCCCTCCTTCTGGCCATCACGACACTGTTATCTGTGTCTATGGGCTATGCATATATGTTCTTTGGCTAATCAATTCACTTTTTCCCCCCTTCCAGATGAGGATTCAAGGAAGTCTGAGAATCAAGAAACTGCACTATTTTTGATATTGATAGCAATAGCTGTAATATTGGGAAGTGCTTTCTTACTGTGAGTTTTCCTCCCTCCAGACAAACACTGAGTCGAGCATTCCTTTGGCAAAGAGACCGCCCAATCTTCGCCCTCCTTCCAATGGAAATAAGGGGAAATAAGTCATTTCAAACTTTGGGAGATGATACAGACAGGAAGGAAGTGAATGGAAGTTTGTTGGGATAAAAATAGAAACAAGGGAGACGGAGGAGTTACAATGAAGTATGAGGGAAACTTTTGCAGTTATCTAGAAATGGAAGAAAAAAACTATCATTGTTGTAGAGAGCTGGGCTACTGATGTTGATATTGGAATTATCTTGTCTCTCTAATCTAGATTCCATATTTGTGTCACTCATCAGAGGAAAATGAAAGCAATATGAAAGTCATTAGAGGAATACTTGGATATGAAACTTGAAAAATTAATGGAGATGAAAGATGAGAACACAGAAGACTTTGGAATCAAAAAATAAATACATAGACAGAGACAGGAGATCTTTCATGATCCTCTAAAGTATTGACTCAGAGTAGAAAACTGGGAATTAAGTTCTTTTGTGGTTATAAAATCATAGTATTTTAAAACTGAAATAGAACTTAGAGTTTCTCTGGTAAAGATCCTTATTGATATCCTGAGGCAATGGGAGCAATGAGAGGGCAAATGATTTACCCAGAGTTGTATAGAAGTAATGCTGGTATGTTGCAATGCACATTTTAAAAAATGATACCCTGTACGATTTAATAAAAAAATGCATGTTTGGTAACTCATTAATGGCTGTAATTAGAATAACTTTAAATTTCTAATGCTGCTTTTATTTCTATCTTTTCATTTCATTACCATATTTGTTTCCATATTTATCATTAGGCTTAAGGTGGACAATTTTCTTTGATAATACATAACATTTAATCTTCATCATGATATCATACACACACACCACAATGTCCAAAATATAAATTCTGAGTAGTTGGGGTTTGACCAGTCCTTTTCCCCTAACTCTATGCTCCATGACTGAATTGTATATTAATTTTTGATTGATTTAGTTGTTTCTGTTAAACACTTTTTGCGTGTATAGTACCTTAATGAGTGCTTTACATCTATTATCTAATTCAATTTTTGCAGTAATCTTGTGAGTAATATTATTTTTATCTCCATGTTCAAGATGAGGAAACACTAAACATCTAGCTCAAGGCCACACAGCTACTAATCTAGGCTATGACAAAGTCCTCTGGTGGCTAACCGTGCTTATCCAAACCCTCCGATAGGGACTGACAGCTGTAGACATGGACACAATAGCTAGACTGATGGAGAGAGAGTAAATGAGGCTTTATTATCATAAACTATTCTTGATTACAGGTAGTAGTGGCAAAGCCTAGAATAAAACTGAGGACTGGCTAAGTCTACAACATATAAACTTCCCACTCAATTTTGTTTCCTTTTTTCTGTAAGCTTATTTCAAAAGATAAACACCACAGTATAGCAGCAGGGAAATAGTTTTAGGAGTCCTGCTTCACTGGTGGGTAGAATTGTTTGCAAATCTCTCACCCCTCTAGATCTCTGAGGGCTTGCTTGTTGTTGCTGCTATACCAATGAAACATTGAATGAATGGGAATGAAACTGGGGAGGACCTGAACACTGGTATCTCTCAGTTGCTAAATTTGAACTTCATGTTAAAAATTCCCCAAAAGAGTGTTGTTGGCATCTACCATTTCCCCATGATTTAAAGCTCCTCTCACCAAAAAATCTTGGGACATATTTACTTCATTCATAGTATTAATTAAATTATTGTCTGTATATTGTTTTATTTTTAATTGTAAATAATCATATACATGGGATAACATACTTGCTACATTTTGAGGGTTTTTGTGTCTCATTTCCTTATATATTTATTTATTTTTTTTTTTTTGTAATTGATTTCAGAGAGAGGAAGGGAGAGGGAGAGAGAGAGAGAAACATCAATGATGAGAGAGAGTCATTGATTGGCTGCCCCCTGAATGCCCCCGACTGGGAATCAAGCCAAAACCCGGGCATGTGCCCTGACTGGGAATCTCCTGGATCATAGATCGATGCTCAACCTCTGAGCCACGCAGGCCAGGCTCCTTAGTGCAACCTTTTAAATTTCTTGTTCTGTCAATTTATCCTGTCCCCTCCCCACTCTTTTCCTACTCTAATCTCATCATTCCACTCTAGAAAATCTAGGTGAACAAGTTAGGATATATCTTTTATTGTTTTAGCAAAATATAAATAGTTATAAGTTAATATATACCACACAAATATATTTACTCAGGCAATTTTTTTGTAATTAAAAAATTATGCACACTTTAATGCATGTTGACTTTCACACCTACTTTGTGAAAATTAAGCTAACTGGTATAATTTTATTCACCATTTTTGGTAGTTGTACATAATACCATGGTGTAGTGGTATCATAATTATTCTAATATTCCTCTATTTGGGGCACTCTTTACATTTTTTGTCACTATGACTAATGCTGCAATAAGCATGCTATAGATATATCCTAACTTGCTGATACTTTCTTTTATAAGATAGTGTTACAGAATTGGGATATCTGAAGTGGAAGTTGTACGTGCTTTGTCATGCAACAAATATAATTAAAAGTTGTAGTAATTTGCAAACATATCAGTAATATGCAATAGTCTAGGTTTGCCACATCCCCACTGGTGATAATAGGCTGTACATATCTCTCTTTTTTTTTTAAATATATCTTTATTGATTTCAGAGAGAGGAAGGAGACGGAGAGAGAGAGAAACATCAATGATGAGAGAGTCATTGATCGGCTGCCTCCTGCACGCCCCCTGCTGGGGATTGAGCCCACAACCCAGGCATGTGCCCTGACCGGGAATCGAACCCCGATCGCCTGGATCCTAGGTCGATGCTCAACCGTTGAGCCACGCGGGCCGGGCCAGACTGTACATCTCTCTTAAGTGTCGCGGATCTGATTAATATCAGAATGCACTTCTGTCGCCTAGCGCCTCACCACCTTTCCAAGGGACTCCATGCTATTTCAGTGGCCCTGCAGTGAACTGCCTACTCGTGCACTCTATAATTTGAGTTGCCTTCGTTTTGTCAATTTAAAAGAGGCCCTAAACCCTATCATATTCCTTGTGAATATAAGTGTTATTTTCCCCAAACCTACCCTTTGTCTGTTGAGCACTTAAGGTGGTGTTTTAGCTCTCTACCTACTCACTTCTTTTACTTCTAAGTCTTTAATATTTATGTAAGATAAAATACTCATTGATTTTTGGATAGTCATTCTACATCCAGTGGCTTAACAAATATGTTTCTTAATTTTATTTTTTTAAACTAAAATCTCTTTTATTTTCTAGGTTTTCAATTTTATGACAAAACAAATGTTTTGTCTTTTGTTTTCTATGTACACCAATTAGTTAGCTTTCTTATCCTAGCACATTTGCGCGAACTTGTAAGACAGTGCAGAAAAATAACCAACAGTTATTTTGATAAAGATTAGAACTTAATAATTGCAAAGCCACCAGTCTTTAAACAGCAACTACGAGGGAAAGTTAACACATGGACTCTTAAGGAAATTGTAACTTATTGCAGTGGAATTATTCTGTAACAACCTGAAACTGTATTTGTGGACCCATTATGGTGGCTTCTTTGAAATTAAAAAAATCCAGTCCTCTAGAAAACTCTCATACATTGTTTTCAGATAATATCGCTGTCTTTAAAAAGTCAAATCTCAAATTCCTTCATTAATTGGTTATAATATTTCAAAATATAGAAAATGAATCTTCATCCGTAATATGGCTTATCTGTCCTCTTGGTCCCAGAAAAATACAAGCCTATCCATAAAAAACTTAATTTTTTATCCCTTGAACCTGCCTCAGCTGTTAAAGATCTCACTCTTTCTCTTTCTGGCATGAACGTTATGTTTATGTAATAAAGGTAGGAAAAAATTATAAGAAGCAAAGTTTTAGGAAAAGCCTCATAAACATGTATTAATATAAATTAAATATTGGCTATAAAATAAAACAATCATTTTAAAAAGAAAGAGGAATTCAATATTTGTGTCTAAAAGGGAAACAAAAAATAATGAAAGATCAGAGGGCATTTAGATAAAAGCAGCCGTTGCCTGGCCAGAGTGGCTCAGCTGGTTGCGCTTCCTCGCGTGCACCGGAAGGTTGCTGGTTCGATTCCCAGCCAGGGCCCATGCCTGGGCTGCGGGTTCAACTTCCCGATGGGGGAGCATATAAAAGAGTAAGGTATGAGAATAAGGGATGATTTTATATGATAATAAAAGTAATAAATAGACCAGAATATACAGAAACAATAAGTTGTATGAACCTAACAACATAACCTTGATATAAAGGAAAAAATACTGACATGATTTCCACAATCCCCATGTAAGTTTTCTTACCCTTGTGTTAGAATCTGTTAAAGCTAAAGAAAAAATGCTAATACGATTACAGATTTGTACAACAAACCACCTCAAACTATTAATATTAGTTATATTTAACCCTGTACCCATGTAATAGACATACATTTTCTTTTTTTCTAATACAGCTGGTGTATTTATAAAATTGACATTGTGCTTTGGCTTGGCAGACAGTAACTAGATTTCTCCTAACTCAATTCCTGTTCCTCCCAGATACAGGGCTAGAATACATCTCCCAGTCTTCTCTACAGTTAGGTGTGGCTATGGAACCGAGTCTGACCAATAGAATATGAATATAGGAAGTGATATCGCTGTTTTCCAGGTCTGCCACATATAAACATAAAGGAGCAATCCTCCAGCCCCTTCCTTCCCTCTCTAATGGTGGGATCAACATCCAGGGATATCTGAGAATACTGAAGATGCCTCTAATTTGGTGCATTTATTTTATGTTTCATAAAGTTTTCACTTGAAAGCTTGTTTCATTAAGCTTCTGAGATTTAGAATTAGCATTACATACTATCTTACGCAAAGGCCGAAAAGAAAACTTCAACAAATTCCAAAAAATATTATGAAGAATCGTTTTAAGATCATGGGCAATAAAATTAAAAACTAGCAACAAATGATAAAAATATTCTATATATTTAAATAGCAAAAATCATATTTCTAAATAATTTCTGAATTAAAAATGAAACTACAAAGCATTCAGGCTTTCCAGTTGTTTAGCTATGATTCCCATTGTGAGGTCTGGTCTACAAAGAGAGATCACAGAGCTTTTCAAGGATGCTGGGTCTCCCCTCATAAAAACTTATTCCTCAAACAAAGTATTGGTGAAAGTATGTCTTTTGGACCTCTCCCACTGTGCTTTGAGGAAGCCAATTTTGCTGGGGCTGGAGAAACATCATTAACCAACAAAGACTGATCAAGATTTAAGGGCTCAATGCCCTAGTTTCATCAGGGCTTACTCACACACA